ACCAGTTCGGGAATGTCGTATTTGTCCAATTCGCTGAACTGCAGCTCCACAGTGTCCTTCGCATAATGCTTTTGTTCCGTGGTCTGCTGTTCCTGCTTTTGCCGGACAAAGCGACGACTCATTAGATAGAGAAGGGCGGCAGTAAAGACGTCCAAGATGATGTAGAATGCTGGCAAAAAATGCGGGTACTTGGAATAAGCCAGAGAGAGCGCTGAGGATCAGTGGCGTCTCGTGGACCAGATCGCCTTGGTACGGATCAATGCCGCTCTGCAGCAGGAAGATGCCTTCTTGCACTGGAAGAGTACAACACACATGTACACCTATTACCATTAGCCGTACGTTTGTTTACTCACTGCGCTTGTGTGAATTCAAAGGCGTCGCGAACTCCACTCGGTTGCCAATCATGGCAGCCAACGGCGTGCGACTGAAATAGAAGCGCACCACGCCGCCCAGGAGGAGCAGTTTGAAGAATTTTGCATCCATGTTCTAATTGGAGCCGCCTGGCATAGTCTATGCAAGAAACTACGGACACCGCCTGGAAATTGCAACGAAGCCGCTACAGCTGTTCCTAGTGATGGAAGCCGCTATCGATAGGCTGTCGATAATTCGTGCTGGATGTTGGTGCATTTGTTTTTTATTTATATATTTTTTAAATTTCTTCTATTTCCATTATTGAATACCTAATAATACCATTTAACAGACATTTTTTCCAAGCTTATATCCCTAATACACGAACATTTAAATTCTATCGAAAAATCGGGTTTGTTCCCATCTCTACGCAGCGCAACACATGCTGAGAGTGTCATCCCTAACCTCTCTTGTTGTTTGCTTCGCTGAATTGTTTCACTTAATTTTTAATTAAAAACACGATAACGTTGTGAACATGATTGGAAGCAAGAAAAAATCCAAAAAGGCGAATGTCTTTAAGGAAATTGAAGACAATTTCGAGCAGCTGACCAGCAATCCAGAGCGTTTCCTCAAGTTTGTTTGCCAACCCGCCGCGCACGTGTTTTACTTTTCTAAACAACTTTTATTGCAGGCCCAACCAGACCAGATAGACGCCATTGAGCAATTCATCCAGCAAACTTACAGCGTGAGTATCAGTGGCGATGTGGCGAACAAGAAGGACATACTGCCGGAGCTGGTTCTGGAGCACATGGATGAAGAGCAGATTTGGCAGCAGCTTGAGATACGCAACGAGTTGGTGTTGGAGCAGCTGCTGGAGAGCACAGCCCGGTTGACGGCTATGCGGGAACAGCATTTGGGCATCGAACTGGATGATGGCGAAGAAGAAGAGCAGGAGGGGGAGCTGGAGGAAGAAGATTTTGCTGAAGAGGAACAAGAGGACGAATCGGATCTCAGCGATGATGCAAATGAGAAGCCATCGAAACAGAAAGCCATTGCACCCAAACGAAAACACGGCAAGCGGGGGCGTAGCTCTATAGTGGACGACACCTTTTTCAAGTTGGAGGAAATGAATGAATTTCTGGAGCAGGAGGATGCCAAAGAAATGCGCCGACTGGACAGCAAGCGGAGAGGGAATCAAATGGATGATACCATCGATCACTTTTCGGCGAATTTCGGTCTTGACGACAGCGATGATGGAAATGTCAACTATGCGGACTTCTTTGATATGGACGAGGAACTCGAGCAGCAGGCCAAAGACCAAGGCAAAGGCAAGCAGAAGGATTTCTTTAACGAAAACGAAAGTGAAGATGAACAGGACGAGGATGAAGACGAAGATGGGGACAATGCAGAGCTTGATCTGGCGGAGGGCAAACAAGGCGAGGATCAAGAGGAAGTGGCCAGTGAAATAGATGAATCAGAGTTTGTGGCCAAGAGTGGCATCGAACCAGCTAGCGACAGCGAATCAGGTTCTGACTCTGAGAAGGAAGAACATGACGAAGAGGAAGATCAAACGCCGGCCGAACCGCCCTCCAAATCCTCAAATGAGCTAAGAGAGGCCCGCTTGTTTCAACGCATTCGTGATTACGAGGACGTCGTCCTGGCGAGAAGCCCTGGCAGCTCAAGGGAGAGGTAAAAGCGGCAAATCGCCCGCAGAACTCGCTGCTCGAGGAAATCCTTGACTTTGACTCAACAACCAGACCTACAGCGCCAATTACAGAGGAGGATAATCGCTCCATCGAGGACATTATCAAGCAGCGGATACGTGACAAGGCCTGGGACGATGTGGAGCGCACAGTGCGTCCAGTAAACACGCCACAGGAGTACCGCAAGCAGCTGGTTCTAGACCAGGAGAAGTCCAAACAATCTCTGTCCCAGATCTATGAGGCGCAGTATCAGCGCGAGCTGGATAAGCTTGATCCCAACCGTGATGCGGACGATAAATCCGGTCCGGAGCCAAAAGAACACCAAGAAATCAAGCGAGCCATGCGTTCGCTCTTCCTCAAGCTAGACGCCCTTTCCAACTTCCATTTCACACCCAAGCCGGTGGCGCCAGAGGCTAGGATAGTGACAATACGCCGGCAGTGCACATGGAAGAGGTGGCACCGGTGGCAGTGAGCGATGCCAAGTTGCTGGCACCCGAGGAAGTGTTCCGCGGTCCCAAGCATGCGCTCTGGGCAAGGCTGAACGCGACCGAACGGACAAGAACCGCGAACGGCGCAAGAAGAAACAGAAGCAGCGAGCCATCAATTCGGCCTTGGAGAAACGTGATCTGCAGCGCGCCAAGGAGGGCAAGGCGCCAACGAAGAGGGAAGCGGATGCCAAGCTGCTGAAGAGCATCACCAAGAGTCGAAATGTTGAAAAGGTAAGTTTTAATAGAAAAATAGAAAATAAGAGAATTTTAGGCTTAATTTTATACAATACAATATCTTTTGCAGATCAACACGAGCAGTAACGACCAGGGTGCTTTGAAGTCGTCCAAGGCGTTCTTCAACAAGCTGCAAGACACAACAGCGGCAACTGCTAGCAATAAGCGACCCAAGAAGGATCCGTCAAAGGCGAATGCCAAGAAGCTCAAGCTTTAATTGTACAAATTAAGATTCCTTCTCCCTCTGTTAATTGCCTTTTGCCTAGCCAAGTTTTCGCCTCGCCAGTCACGTTCTTGAAAACGGTCACAGGCACACACACGCCCACGAAGGATTTCTGGTTAAAGGAGAGCTCTGATGGCTCCAATTTGGTGCACCATGGGAGCTGGCATGCGCCGGCATTTCGAGGATTCCGTGTGCGAGTGTCCTGCGTGTGTGTTTTGTGTGTGGGCGGATTGTGTGAGTCTGAGTCAAGGACTTTCGGCGGTGGCATGGCGGGGCGATTAGGCACACGTGTAATGTGCAAGATGTGACTATTTTTAGAATTATTTTACTTAAAATAAACTGTTTGCTATTTAAATAGAAGCGAAATAAAAGGAAGTTGTAAGTAAGCCGCACGAATGTGAGCAAATATGTAAATATTAAGGCTTTTGGCGATTTTGAGTTGGTTATACAAATATAAGAAGAAATGGAATAGATAATAATTATTGTATTTTGTTTATATAATTAAATATTTCTCTTTATTTTATTTTAAATAGAAATACAAATCCCGGATCCGAAATAGAGTTCTGTTGTATTTTGAGCAAGGATTTAAATATGAAATCACTTTTAACTTTTTAATTATTTTCAAATAAAAAAATAAAATTTCTTATAATAATTAATAATTTAAAGTAGATTAAAATGTATACTATTTAATATATATTTGATTGAGCGGTTCTAGTAATTTTCCATATAAACCTAATCTAAGAAAATGTTAAAGGTTAAAGATAGCTTTTAGGTTTCATTGCTAGAACTAAAAAAAAATTATCTGCCCCAAATGATAAAATTAATTAATAGAAGGTAAAAGAATAACGTATAATTAATTAATTATAATAATTCTGATCTTCGATTCCAACGGCTTATTTAGCAAAGTTTCCCACCACGGATTAGTTAAAATACGCTAATTGCCGCCAGAATTTTTGTGCCGGCTCTTGCGGTATTTTTTAGTACATTTATGAACTTCGCACGTGTATAGTTTACTACGGCGTGTGTTGCATTTAAAATATAATTTAACCCCCGAAAGAAAACAAACAGTTGCCCAATTTAAGATGGTTAAAGTGCAGAAACCACAGCCAAAGTCGCTCACCAAGAGCAGCAGCATCGAGGGCGTGACCAAGAAGAAGGGCAAGCAGGAGAAGGCCAAGAAACTGCCCGAAGAAGCTGTCGTCGCGGTCGCCGCCAACGCGAAAAAGCTGAAGAATGCTAGCCCCAAGCCAGTCGAGGCGAAGGCCAAGGAGCAGAAAAAGCCAGCGGTGAAACCAGATGCAGAGAAGAAGCAGCAAACTAAGGCGGCCAAGAGGCCAATGATTCTGGCCCCGGCTCAGTCACCTTCTCCTGCTCCTGCGGCAGTCAAGAAGTCCAAAGTAAAGGCAGCTGCTCCCGCAAAGACAGAGGCTGTCAAGAGGGCACTGATCCTGGCTCCTCCAGAGTCGCCAGTGGTGCCTAAAAAACAAGGCAAGTCCAAGGCGGCGGCTCCTGTTGCTGATAAAAAAGAAAAGTCGGCCAAAAAGGTCGTTGAAACCGAGGCTCCTCCAGCAAAGAAGTCGGCTCCAGCTAAGAAATCAGTTGCAGTTGCTCCTCCCGCAGCTAAAAAGCCAGCAGCAGTGGCCACTCCAGCTAAGAAATCAGCTGCTCCTCCCGCAGCCAAGAAGTCAGATGCTGCCGCAGCTCCAGCGAAGAAGTCAGCTTCAGTTGCTCCTCCTGCGACCAAGAAGCCAGCGGCTCCAGCCAAGAAGCCATCCGCTCCAGCTAAGAAGCCAGCTGCAGTTGCTCCTGCCGCAAAAAATCCCAAAAACCAGCTGCTGCTGAGGAACCCAAAAAGTCCCAGCAGCCCGCCAAGCCAACTGCTTCGCTCCAAAAGAAGGCAAAGTCAGTGCAGAAGATATCCAAGCCAGCCAAGGCGCCCAAAGGAAAGAGAAGCATTAGCAAGAAGAACACAGCAGCCAAGGGTAAGCCCGTTCGCAAGGAGCCTGTTAAGACCAAGAAGCCTGTCGAGCTGACCTTCGAATTGAAGTCCTTCGACGAGGACAGGTACAAGGAGATCGTTAGCGAGGCCAATGTAACCAAAATCAGCGAGGCACTGAAGACACTTGTGGAGGGCGAAGTAGCCAAGAGAAGGCTACCTCGATCTTCACCGACTACCGCTACATGCTGCAGGTGGCCAGCTACAAGATCGCCAGCTGCCCCAAGCGCGTGGCCAAGCTGTCATTGAAGCATTCGCTGGTTAGCAGCGATGACGATGTGGCCATCATTGTGCCGGACTTGCAGCGAGGTGCCAAGTTTGACTTTGAGCCAACCAAGCAGCACTACGAGGATCTGTTCCGTGAGGCGGGGGTGGAGCAGCGCCTAACCATCGTGCCATTCAACCAGCTGCGCAACGAGATGGGCACCTTTGAGGCGAAGCGTAAGTTCCTGAACAGTTACGACTACCTGCTCTGTGATGGTCGCCTCTCCGGACAGGCTACTGCCTTTCTGGGCAAGGTAAGATATCTGCCTGTACTTTATGGTAATTCCCTGTATTCTAAGAACTCGCTATTGAGCTCATAAATAATCCTCGGCGAGTGGTATATATACACTGCCCTGCAGGTCTATAAACCACTTGCATCCTAATCTTCGGCTCGTACTGACAGCTCTCCATCTTTCTAGTTTACCCAAAAGCCGCGGAATGTACTTCACGCCGTGCGCCTGAGCGTTGAAGCTGACCAGCTAGCAGAGGAGGTAACCCGCGCCCTTAAACGAACCGCTTACCGGCAGCTGGCGAAGGGCGATCTGACGGCCATTCCAGTCGGTAATCATCAGCACAGCGCCGAACAGCTTGCGGAGAATATTCTGCAGGTAAGCAAGCAACTGCAGAAGCACTTTCCCGGCGGACTAGCCAACATTAGGTCGCTGTACCTTAAGATCGACATTGTGGGAACTTCGGCGCTGCCATTGTACGTCAGCATGTGTGCTCCGCCAGCAGATACACCCTATGTGGTGGGACCACGGGAGCAGCGCATGCTCAAGTTGAAGAAGCAGGCCAACGAGGTACTCTCCCGGTTCGCCATGACCAAGGATGCCGAGTTCGTGAAGCTTACCGCAGATCAGGTGAAGCGCAAGGCCGAATTGAAAAAAGAGAAGGCAGCTTTAGTAGCAGCTGATGCTGCTCCAAAGGATAACGATGGCGAGGACACCGCTGTGCCCACGAAAAAGGCGCGCAAGGAATCAAACAGCGAGGCCGCCAAGGCCGAGGAAGGGGAATCCGATGATGAGGATGCTGAGGAGGCGGCGGGTGAAGACGAAAGCGGTGAGGATGGAGATGATACCGATGACGACGATATTGATGAAGAGGATGACGATGAAGACGAAGAGGACGACGACGACGACGACGACGAGGATGAGGAGGATGATGATGATGATGACGACGATGATGAAGATGATGAGTAATTTTGCATTACCTTATTCCTCTCGATTAGTCGTAGTTATATATATCTAAACAACAAATATGCAAACCTTTCGTTCAATTCCGTTTGCAATTTTTACAAACAGTTTTAAGTAATAAAGAAATGTTTTAAGTACGCAACATAAATTTCTAATATTTGTTCGTTTATTAATACATACATATACATTTACGGGATTCTTTGGCCCAAAGTTCGTAATTAAAATTTTATTCATTTCATTTGTTCAATCGCCGATAAAAATCGCAGCTTGTATGCAAATAATTATAGTAGTATCAATTCATTGTCCGATAGCATAAAAATAATGCCCATGAATATTCATATTTATTTACATATGTACGTACTTCTATATATCTGCATATCCTCAAATCAGGCATAAACCCTTATGGTCGTTGCATCCCCTTTAGCCAGATTGCTGGCAATGTTTGTCCGCGGAAATGGCTCGGATTCTTGCTGAGTTATCGCAGCTCAAAGTGGATGCCAACCCAACCCTTCCTTGGCATCCTTTTTGTGGTAATAAAAATCAAATATGCATTATGCCTCGGACGATGCTCAGCGGGATGTCACCGCTACGTGCTATACTTACAACAAAGTCCATTTCAATTTTCATAGGAACAGATTTATATGCACTCGTTCTACATATAGTATGTATAGTTCTTGTATATAGTTCCTTCCCATAAATCAGCTCGATTCTGAACCAAACCTCCAGTGGGAGTACAGCGAAATGCAATTTCTTTGATGTTTACTGATGTCTCAGACGAATTATGTATGTATGAGGACCAACAGAAAGGTTTGGGGTTGACCGAAAGTTTCTTTTTTTTTGCCTGCATAATTCCTCTTAATTAGTCTATTGGCTTGGAGTGACTTTGACAGCTGGATGTCCAAGTGTCCAGGGCTGTCTAGTCCAATTCCAACTTGAGATCCTTGCGCTGACCATGGGCTATTTGTTTTTTTTTTGTGTAGGCAAGGTCGCGACCCTAGAGATTAGAATCACGTTTCAGGCCGAAACAAAAAATATAACAAAAACCAAAGCCAAGCTGGACACGTCGCTGGCAACAAGAACAAAAACATTGTAAAGCTTTTATCAGTCCACATTATCATTAGCCGCGTTTTCTGTTCCTGCCATAAAATCCATACATATGCGAAGATAAACATGTTCTTTTTTTTGTTTACGTATGTATATACGGATATAAGCAGCAAGGATTCCCCACACACGCATTTGGATATTCCCACTTCCGTTGCCATTTCCATTATTATACTCAAATTCACTTCAGTCTGCGGAAAAAGAGAGTTAAATAATACTTGAATTGACGACAAACAATGATGGGGAATATTTATTTTTTATATACCTCGAGGTTTTGGATTAAAGAGTTATAGGGGTAAGGTTTTTAGAAATACTTATCACTAACCAATTAATATAGTTTCTTTTCCCTTTATTCTAGATAAATTGATATGGAAATCTGCCCACTCAATTACGTGTGACAGACCAAGCATAGTTCCTGTATTTCCAATACCAATTTGCATATCAGCTATATAATTGCATCATCATGCTATTTATCGTGGTGATAAGCGACTAATTGTGAGTATGAGAAAAAATTCCCAAAATATAGTAATTGGTGACTGGGTAATCTCTCGATGATTAGTCAATGCGAGTTCGGAAAAATTGCAAAGAGATATGTAATTGCCATTTATGCGATAATGCCACGTAGAATTAATAATAATCTAGTTTATTGGGGGGATTTATATTGGATTTAGGGTCTGACAGCTGCCTGGGATGGCAAAACTAATTGAAAATAATCAGATGCTGATTAGTCCTGATGCTGATAGCATGATCGATGGTGCCGGTGGCCACGATAAACAGTTCGATAATTGTGCGTAATAGATGATTAATAAAGTGATAGCAAAATAATACGTATACGACTGGTTGCCGATGCCCTTTTGCCACGTGTTGCGTATACGACTGGGTGGCCAGCACCCACTAGCGCCCATGACTGCGCAAAATCCTCACCGAAATACGCCAACCGTCGATGTCGATTACGTTGTGGGCGGAGGCGGAGGCAGAGGTGGCAGTGGCAGTCTTCGGTGGTCCCGGACTTCGGGATTCGCTGTCGGGTCCCGTACCGAGTCCGGGTCCCACCTGAACGCGTTGAAATCTTTCGTATCCTCGCCTCGTATAAATCGCGGTCTCCTTGGCTGCCGATTTCACTTACGTTTCAAACTCAAAGCCGTTCAGTCAGCAGCAGTCGAACCAGAGCATCGTTATCGGTATTTAAAAAATATTCAAGAAACGTTTTTTAAACTCAGTGCTTGGCCTTTTTCCAGTGAAATATTTACGAGACTCTTTTTTTGGGAGAGTGTTGTGTGAATTGTTGTGAAAAGGTGAGCGGAAAACTATTCGCTGTGGATTTTAAATCAATTGAAATGGTGTCTAAAGTATTGAAAAATATATTAAAAGTTAAAAATAATATACAATTTAAATGATTTTCTGAAGTTTTGGTCATAACATTGGCACCTGTTCAATAGATTTCAAATCTGTATTAAATATAAATAAATTACTACGTATAGTTCAAATTTAATTAAAGAACGTTAAATTTAAAGCAAGAAAATAATTGTTTATTCAGTTATTGGTAAAAATATAAATATTTAAAATATTTCTTGGGAATAACAAAAGAGCCAAATTATTCTTAGATAAGTACGAAGATACATTGATAGATAGGGATAGATATTTAAAAAGCAGCGATACAAATTCAAATAATTTGTAATTTTAAAAAAGAATATGAGTGATTTTCTTTGAATTAAACATAGATCTACCTATGAGGAAAAAAATAGAATTTTTCAAAAGTTTTCAATTTTTTTTCAAAAAAGATAAGGGGTTATCATTAAAATTGTCAAAAATTGTCAAAAAAAATCTAATTTGAGTACGCGAATTTGTTAAGCTTATAAAAACTAACATAGAAAAGCTTTCCAAATAAAAATTAATTGTTCTTTGGCTTAGTTATGAGTTTTTTAAAGTTTGATATGTCGAAAAAATTGTCATACAAAAATATATGTCTAAATATTGATTCAAAGATTGCATTGTCATATGTACAACTTAACAATTACAACTATTATTATTTTTTTATTTTATTAAATCTGTTGTAATATTTGTTAACTTTTACTGAACTTAATTTCGCTTTTAATTATTTAATATTTAAAAATATATAGCCCTGATTTTTGCAAGTACTTATTAGATACAAAATATACTGTTGATTATTCTATTCGTACTTAAAAAAACGGCTTACAGTAATTGACATATTATTTAAATTTGAAAGCGAAATGGACATGGCTTGCTCAATTAGTAATTTTTCCTAAAACCGACTTAGCTTTTACGTAAGAATTTTCTATTTTTAATTAAGTCATTGAGAAGAGCTTCTTATAATGTGGCGAATTTTTAGGCTAGCTTATGAGAACCGTTTTGACTCCATCTCAACTTAATTATGCTTTTATGGCTTAAATTTTCATATGTTTATAATTCGGTAAATGCCCTGAGCTGGCCCCTTCAGATATTGCTTCTTAGCCTGGCCTAAGCCATAAAGTCAACATGGAACCCAAGACCATTGTGGATGATGATGTGTGCTCTATGCACAGGACATTTGTTGCTTCCCCTTTGTCCTTTTGGTCTTGGCGACCTTTTTCCTTCTTGTATCGGCCAGAATCTTTATTTTATGCTGCAAAATTGAAGTTGTCCCCTTGGCTTAATGGCCCTTTGGCCTGGATCGAGTAAGTCCTTTTGGATTATCGCAATCATTTTAAGCTTAACTCTCTGCTCTCCCATATTAAGGCGGCCCCTATAGTTTAATGTTGCTACTCCCATATATAGCGGGTTGCCACTTCAATTGCTAAAACTTTAGCGCGAAGTTTGTCTTAAACTTGTTGATTGCAAAGTTCTGTGAACTTAAAACACAGGCAATTGAAATTAATTTCCCTGCATTAATAACAACAGTTGTGAGCTCAGATTGGCCCCGAAATTGTTCAGTGAATCGAACGAGTGGCTTGGCCTGGGAGCATCCAAACTTGAACAGAATTCAATCGAATTGTAATTGAAGCATGACCTTAATGCCTCAAAGACTATCTTGTATTTCATGTTTAATAAATGCGCAATTAAAGTCCATTTAGTTAGTCATAAAGTGGTACTTGCTGTTTATAGGAATAAAAACTACACTAATGGGAAAATGATGAAAATTAAAAATGTATTTAAATGTGGTGCAGCGCAAAAGCCGCTTAGCTGCGGAGGAAGTAAACGTGAGAGATTGCCAGGCACAGTGTTCCCAGGCTAAGCCGTACATGCAGGCTAAATGCCATTAATCCGGGCATTTTTTGCATGCCATTTATAGAATTATTTAATATGGTTTCCTGTTTTTTTTTGTTTTTTTGCGAGAAAAAGCAGTAAAGAAAGAGGATTATAATTTATTTTTGCTTTATTTTGTTATGATTTTTTTGTATGTGTTTTTTGTGGCTTATTTTAAAAGTGATATTTACACTTTACACTTAAGTTTTTAAAAATTGGTATAATTATGGATATGATTAAAATAGTTGTAAAACGCTTCCTTTAAAGAATAATTTAAAGCCCCTGAATTTCTTTATTTAAAAACGATTCCTACATTATACATATTATTTATGGACAAAATGTCTAAGGAATTATTGCCTACAATTTCAATCATCCTTTGTCAAGGACCTTTTGCCTTCTGAACAATTTATGCCCACTGTTTTATGCAACACCTTTTTGCGTCACTTTGTTCATTTTATGTTGCCTACTTTCTTGGGCCAACAACAAAACATACATATTCTGGGGTCTGGGGAAATTCAATTCTCTCGCTCAGGTGCTCCAAATGAAATGGAAGGCGTCGAAAGCACTACTTAATTTAATGCTCTGCCCGACGGTTGTTTACGAAATGCTTCTTCGACTGCGACAATTTGTGGGAAATCCTTGTTTTCTTTAAATTTACAAAAGGAAAATACCAAGCAGAGCGGAGAATCACAAGAGACAAAGTGAGTGAAAGAAAAGGGCAGTTGATTTGGGTCTTCGGATTTGCTATCACATTTTTCCCATCTTTATATCTTTTCCTGTTTCCTTTTTATCTTTCGGCCTTGT